ACATTAGAGATAATTTACATAATGTTGATTATTACCCTAAGGTAAAAATATTGTCAAAATAAAAAGTAATTCTTCTGAGGAAGACAACCTAACTCTTAAAACTTAGCTACTCAATAGTTTGAGATGCTTCTAAATATGTTTTAAAGCATATTTATACAACCAACCAAGGCCAGAAACATATACTACATAGGAGTCTTTTAAGGAAATATGATTATCCCAAATGTATAATAAACAGCTTTAGATGGCTACCTGAGATGTCACTTGGTGCTGATCGTAATATGAAAGGAGCTGAAGTTTGGTGAACACAGTCTCCAGCGTTGGAAATGACTCCTGCCTGCTCTTCTTGGCTCTTGGTCCTTCATCTCCTACTAGCAAACACATAGTAACACATTATTTTTCACTCAACAGAAGCTCACTACTTTTCAATGATACTGTTTTGATTTAAATAGAATGCACATACAAAAAATGCACAAACTCTATGAATCTCTACAAAATACACTTGTAATGAAACTCAATTCACAAAATCACATATCAGAACACTGTACACTTGATGGGGCCCTTCCAGCCACTTCTCTCCCCGCAGGGGACAAGATCCCAACTCCTCACAGCTTAGACTAATACTGCACACCTCGGAACATTTGTAATAACTGACTTTTGAAATGGAAGACATAAACAAGGAAGCAGGGAAATCACCCAGGCTCATTCTGACTTAATAGAAAGCTTCACTGGCATCTTCTTAGGAGACTTACTGTAATATTTTCTCAAAGAGTAATTTGTAAAAAAAGAAAATTTACACACATGATTCTTAACTTTTAGGGTAGAAAAGATAAAATTCCTCCACATTAATGGAAAAATGCAACACTTATTTTAGCATAAAGCAATTTGAAAAAAATTACAATAAAAATGGTTTAAAATATGCTATCCCAGAGGGACTCTTGTTCTTAAAAGTTTAAAGGTTAATATCCAAAAATAATTAGATCCAGTTTTTAAATATTTTGTAATGTATGTATGTATAAATATAAATTTAAAAACAAAAGTAAAAGGTTGGATTATATAATGTCTAAGGTCATTTCCAACATAATGATGCTAACTATAGTTAAAGGCTATGGTGACAAGAGCACTATCACTCACATCTTTGCCCTGCTCTCACCCCTACCTTCTCATATCTGTCTCCCAACCCTTGGTCCTCCCCCACCCCTGCAATCACTATATCAGTACTGTTATGTTTAAGAGGTTTTTTTTAAAATATATATATTTTATTGATTTTTTACAGAGAGGAAAAGAGAGGGATAGAGAGTTAGAAAAATCGATGAGAGAGAATCATCAATCAGCTGCCTCTTGCACACCCCCTACTGGGGATGTGCCTGCAACCAAGGTACATGCCCCTGACCAGAATCAAACCAGGGACCTTTCAGTCTGCAGGCCGATGCTCTATCCACTGAGCCAAACCGGTTTCGGCTTAAGACGGTTTTTGTGGTGTTCTTTTTGTTTTGTTTTGTTTTGTTTTGTTTTGTTTTTTGTTGTTGTTTTTGCCTAATCCCTCACATTTTATTTGGAAAAGTTTAATTCAGAGAACAAAGGTTATTACACACCTCTATTAGACTAACAACTTCACTAAACTGAAAAATATTTTGTTAATGAGAAATGTAATGATGTTAAAAAATAACATTAGAAGACAGGATACCTCCCTTTCAACAATAAGCAATTACAATTTAAGCCCTCACCAATGTCTCCCCTCCGCCTACCAAAAAAAACTCAGGCTGTTTTGTGTTCATTTCTTAAAACAAACAAGCCCTGAAACCAGAATAAATCAGAATTAAAAGTGATGTGTAGCATAAGGTAAAAGACTGTGCCACTTTTACCAATAACACAAAAAAACACACACAATAAGTTCATTAAGCCTATTTGTTTTCCATTTAGCTGATCATTTGTCATAAACATATTTAAAGTATCCAAGTTTGGAATTTTTTATTAACTAACACGACTGATCCAAAGCTGAAAGTGCATATCAACCATATTGGGTACAATGTGCTTTAAAATTGAAGTTAAGATAATTATTTAGTCCTTCCTGGGACTAAAGCAAAAACACAAACAAAAATAACACAGATGAGGAAGTGGATCCGTCATGAAAATTCACAGATGCATCTTTTTTGTTTGTTTGTTTATGCTAATAAGCTATAGCTAACTTCTTAAAATCTCACATAAAAATATGCAATTGATTATTGGCAATTCATATTCATTTAAAAATATATAAAATATTAGTGGTAGTTTTCACCGGAATACTTTATTTTAATAATATTCACATGCATAACAGTCATAATTCATAGATTTTTCTCATTTGTCTTATGTTAATTTGCTTTCATAATAGGTATTATTATTCTTTAGTTGCTTAATTTTGGTTGTCTTTTTTTCAAAATCTTTAAACCCTACAAGTTTTGGCCTTCTAGTTTGATAAACCTATTTCATATTTTCAAAAGATGCACCATTGAAACACAAAGATGACTAGTCATATAAATGTACAAGAGGTTTGGCCACCTTCAGCTGGAAATGTCATATAAGTTTTGAATTATAAATGTCCCAAGATAAAGCCTGGTTGATGTGCTAACACTCCTAATGGAGTTTCTAAAAGTCATATACATGCTCATACAAGTGCCCTTTTTCTGATTTATCAATCCTCGTCTTCACTGAAAAAAGGGGCAAATTTCCATTAATCTTAAGTATAGTTAGCTAGCTTCTGGTGAGCACACTAGGCTTTAAGTAGTGACTTAAATGTAGCCTATCAAAAGATAGATCTAATTAAAACATTTCTGAGTAAGAAATTTTAAAGTGAGGGAAAGACAAAAATCCCCATTTGAAGATGCCTTTTCACAGAGGTGTTTCAGTTACTGGTATCTCGAAAAGCGGCATGTACAACAACTGTCTCTGTGAGTTCATGAGCAAGACTTGCCTATTTAAGAAACTGATACAAAGATAGCATAGACTATAGTCTGGCATAAAAAACTATAAAGGAAGGAAGTAGACTCAACAGAAAAAGATACCACATTGCTTCCTTCCTCTTCCTATCTTCTCAGTTTTCCAAAAACCAAAAATTCCATAGGACCTGGAAAGACGCTAAAATTAATTTAAAACTTTTTAAAAACTGTATTACTGAACCTTTGAACTGAGATGGTTCACCCCATTCTGAGGTACACAAAGAGGAGTTTCAGTAGTCTCTGCTCCCTGCTTAGCACACCTTCTAAATCCGACCTTCTAAATGCAACCCATTTCCTCTTTCTCTAGGAGAGAGAAAAGAGCAAGGGGGCAGATCAACAGTTTTTCTTAGCAACTGTGTTCTTTGCAAGCTCCATAAGGACAGACCAACAACAACAGGTTTCATTTCCCTTCCAGGACTCCTGGTTGTCCCCTGTTGCTGGTGTAGTGCAAGGTCCTTAGCCAGAGACAGGAGGAAGTGAGGGGACATGATGCAAATCACATGAAGGTCAATTTTCCATTGCGTGTGCTCTGAGGACTAGCTTGCGACTCAAACAGTGGCAACATTTTGAGAGAAAAGAGAGTCTTGCACCTTGTTTCTGCCTGTGCCCCTCTATTGATGGAGAGGAAAGAGCTATTTGCATTAGTTATATCTGCACTTTCCTGTAGGACAGATGTAGCAAGGACAAGCTCTAGAAATTAATCTGCTTAAAGTTTACAAGATCCCCTGTGGAGAGGTTCATAAAAGAGTATTTATTTTGTACTGAACATCAAAGTAGGGTTTCTAGAGGTGGCTTATACCAAGTGCAGGAAGTGTGCAGTTTGCATAGGGAAAATTGAAAGTCCTCTCCCCTTTGTGTTATTTAAGTAGTAGAAAAATAAATACCACTGGAGGTAGTGGAGTATATATATTACACATTTTAAACCATATGACTTCCTAATAAAATAAACAAACCTTGAAAAGAGTAATTAGGGAAGTGTAAAGTAGATAATTACAAAATTTCAATTATGCAATGTGGTGACATAATGTAAAGATGTAACTTTCCTGTAAAAACTATGTAAAAGGCCAGGGGAAAGAGTATTCTATTATAAGAAAAGAAGGCATTATAGAGCAAAGACTTAATTTTCTTTTTCACTTGAAAACGTTTGGTAACATCAGTAGCCACCATTACTTATCGCAATTATTCTTCTGATTAATGGAAGAAAAGATTAGCAACTACGCTGTCATGATTTTCAGTTAGCATGCAATATAAGTACCCAGAGCAAACTACAAGCTTGAAAAAGACTGGTGAAGATAGGGGAATCGCTGAAACCAGTTTGATTCAGTGGATAGAGCGTCGGCCTGAGGACTGAAAGGTCCGGGGTTGGATTCCGGTCTAGGGCATGTGCCTTGGTTGTGGGCACGTCCCCAGTGGGGGGTGTGCAAGAGGCAGCTGATCGATGTTTCTCTCTCATCGATGTTTCTAACTCTCTATCCCTTTCTCTTTCTCTCTGTACAAAATCAATAAAATATATTTAAAAGAAAAGAAAAGAAAAAAAAAGATTAGGGGAATCACTTTTAAAGTAAGGGGTTTCCAACTCATTCTTCAATACTCCATTTTTTACTATTGTAGAAAATTCGGGAAGTAAAAAAAAAAAAAAAAAAAAAAAAAGTAGAAAATAAAAACTACCTACATCTACTCATAAGACGTGCTATTCTAATACAAGGATTACTATAAATGGAACCAAGGCCTTAAAATTTCAATGTGCTTATTCATATTTCAATGTGACAGTCATTGAGGAGAGGAAACTCTGGGGACACTGCCATCTACAAACTTGATAAAGACAGAGCTAAGGGGAAGGACATAGCCAGCACAATGGGACAAGTGCATTCGGGCTCTTTACCCCCGGTCTCTGTGGTGCTCTTCTTATTTAGGATTTTCAAAATATCTCTGGTAATCTTCTTCAGCTGATGCCTCGCTTCATCACGTGCTTTGCCCACACCATAGAGAAGAACTGTGCGCTGGTTACATTCATGGCTTGAAGACTCATCCTGAAAAAGAGAAAAGTGCACTGAGAAACCCTGGTCTGCAGGCGCAGGGCTGCACTCTGGGCCAGGAAGTGCACTAACCACAGCATCTCTATGCTGCTGGCCTGGTGACACCGCCCACCTTTCAGTTCACCTCAACCTCCACTGGCAACACCTGGTTTTTCCAGTTTGGAACTTGCTAGAGTTAAAAAAAAAAACTGTCAACTAACCTGAAGTCTTAATAGAAGCAGTTGATGTGGGCGACCCCTACAGAGTAAGTTTTGACAATTGAAAACTTTTCGTTGTTTATAATTTAGCATGGTGTTAATTTCACATCATATTTACATACTATCTAGTAGAACTTTTTCCTTAAGGAAAGTGTTATTTCTTAGTTAAATTTGGCTTTCTCTATACAGCATCATTAAATATTGTATATTTAGAAGAAGAAAAAACACATCTTCTTAGGACCCTTTTACTACTTTTATAGAAGTGTTTCCTTTACTTCCAACATGATTGTGTAAGATACATGTATATCTGTTTCCAATAGAGCATGCGGGCCACAGTGCATGGGAGGTAAATAGCTAAAAGTGAAACATGCTCCGTCTGACACTAACTTCCCTTCTGGAGCATCCCGGCCCTCCCTGCCCACAAACCCAGTGAATTCAAGGCTGTTTCCCCTCCTGGAGGGGGAGACCACTCAGTCACAGCAAACAACATGCGCACACTGCTAGTCACATTCCTCAGCCAAAGTCATGTAGTCCGGGATGAGTTAGTTCTCTCTTAACTTGGTTTTGAGCTTTTCTACTAAATTCCTCTGTCAGATCTTACACTCTTTCATCTTCTTGGGATAATCCCTGTCCATCTTCTTTTCTTATCATTTCTACATGTTGCCCTGTCAGGTGCTCTCCCTTCCTAACAGCATCTAATCCTAAGGAGCTTGCCTGAGAAAACACCGCCCAGGAAACACACCACATTGTGGTCCTAATTAGCAGGGGCTGCAAAAATCCTGGAGACGTGGAGAAGTTTCATTTTGCAGCGCAGCACCTGGGCATGCTGCACAATGCAGCATTTTGCTTCTACACTCTTGAAATAAGAGCCTGATCTCTTTCTCTCTGTCTCTCTCTCTCTCTCTCTCTCTCTCTCTCTTTCCTCCCAGTCTTTGTCATTTTGTCTTTCTCTCACACACACTTGAATTCAAGACACCACTTCTCCTTGCACTAATTCCTTTTTTAAATTATATCCTATCAGAAATCTACATTTGTACACCCTGCTACTCCATCTTGCTACCCCACCCACAAATAATTATTGTTTTAGGTGTTCAAATTTGCCTCCTTACTAATATACAGGGGAGGGGAAGGCTAGGAGCAGGTCTCTTCTAGAAGCTGCTGTTACTTAATACACCCTGAATATCCAAATCTCCCTAAAATTTCCATAGACAGACCTAACCACAGGATGAAGGCAACAGAGGTAATGATTCCCACACCTGGCTGCACATCTGAATGACCGAGCTGCTTGTTAATTCCCAATGTTTGTTGTGGCCACAGGGCACTGCTGATGTATTTCTTGTTTGTCTGGTGGATGTGCCCGTGTGAACCTTTCAAAGGGAACAGAGGGCACGGAGGAAACTGTCCAACACCCAGTCCTGGGCCTGGGACTGTTTTCAGCAAAGGCACCTGTCCTCAAATGGTTCTGATGCAAACTTCAGTAGGAGGCATGATAGAAAGATATTAGCAAAGATATTCACAGCTGTTTACAGAGTGTCTCCTCACAGCAGGACAAGGTGCTAGGAACCCTGAGAAAATGCAAGGATGCCAGTTCCTTGTCCTCAAGCATTGCAGATCCAGTGTTATAAAAGCAGCCTTTGCAGAGGGAGCAGAAGCCTCAGCAGGGCCGGTGAGGGTGGTGACCTGGGAAGACCCGTGTGCTCCTCACTAACACACAGGAGCCTGGGTGGGCATGAAGGTTGGATCAGAGCTGTGAAGGCACGCAGGTCCAGCTCCACGGTCCGCGGAATGAGCCTTTCAGAGCCTCGGATTGTTCCTCTGAAGAACAAGGCAACACCACCTGCCCTGTGACAATAACTGAGTAGCACAGGAGACAGAGCTCATTGCTGTCCATTCGTATCCCCCAACTTCCACTTCTCTCTCTCTCACACCCCCTACTCACACTGTGCCACATTACTCAATATTACCAGATACCGGCTGCATCCTTCCTTGGCTGTGGCCCTCCCACCACCTAAAATACTCTCAGCAGCCTCAGATTCACTCATGGCAATGCTCTGGCCATTTACAGCCTCCAGGCCCTCACTCGCTCACCACACGCTAGTGAAAGCCCTCGCTAGAGGGGCACAGGGAGGGGAGAGAAGCTTTGGAGCACTTGTCACAGTATAATTCACTTATTTTCTATGTATTCGCTAGTTCTTCTTCCCTGCTAAACCACCCATTTTGTAATGGAGAACCCAGGTGTGTTGTGTTCACATTTATGTTATTTTCTTAATTACCACACAATGATATGTTTTTATTGATTTTTAGAGAGAGAGGATTCAGGGCAAAAAGAGAGAGAGAAACATCAATGTGAGAGAGAAACATTGATCAGTTGAGAGAAACATTGATCTGGGAATCAAACCCACAACCTAGTTATGTGCCCCAACCAGGGATGGAACCCACAATGTGGATATACCCCTGGACCATAAATTGAACCCACAAAATGGGACAATGCTCTAAGCAACCCAGCCACCCGACCAGGGCCACATTTATATTCTTAATAGGCACTGGTTGGCACTTAATGTCCATTGAATATACAATATGATGAATAAATAAGTGGACTAATAAAAGAACACATGACTAAAAGATAAAAACAAAAATTAGTTTTGTAGGAAACAACCTGAAAAGTGCTGATAAAACTCAAGAGGAGAAATGAGAGGCAAAGAGAAAGCAAAAAAGTTTGTAGAGTGTAAACTATTGATAGATCTTAGTGGTGAGACTAAAAAAGAAGAAGCAAAACCAAGAGGTATTTGATGGTAACTGGGAAAATATCATGCATCTGAGTGAATGTTCAAGTCACCGGATTTCAAGGTGACTCACTAGACAGTTTGTTGGAAGAAAAAAGAGTAGGTAACAACAGCAGGGAGCTCATAAATTCACCGTTAGGTGAGAAGAATTTAAGGGGTAGGTAGAAATCCTATATAATAAAAGCCTAATATGCAAATTGTCCCCTCAGGCAGGTGGTCAACCAGGAGTTCAACTGCTTGCTGACCACCAGGGGGCAGTGTTGGCTGGGAGACAATATGTTGCCCTCCTGGCTTCTGTGTGGCACTACTGGGTGGCCCAGAGGCCCACACTGTGCCCAGGCCCCAGCGCCCAGCTGCATTCCCCGTATCTCTGTGTGGGGACTTGGGTGCCGTGACTCAAGTGGAGTAGGGCACATGGGAGTCCAGGGGCCCATGTGCTGCCCAGGGCTCAGAGGTCAGCTGAGACCTGCCCTTCTATGCCAGATGCTTATGCTTCGATCTCTGACCAGGCCTAGGGACCACACCCGTGCATGAATTTTGTGCACTGAGCCTCTAGTATTTTAGAAATATTTAGTGGGTGGTTTGACATGGAGGCGAACATGGAGCTGACAGCTTCGGGAGAAGAGCAATGTGTCACTGGAAGGGGTACAAAAATTCCCAATTATTGGGGGACGGCAAAGAGGGTTGAGACAATTATGAGGACAAACAAACCATCCAATGATGCACATGCACTCTCTGTAATCAATAAGAGCACCAGAGAAATCAGGGTCACAGAGGTTGGTCATGGAGGAGACATTTAACACTGGGAGTCATTAATAGTATCAAATGCAGTGCAGAAGTCACAATGGATGTAGCCTGACTTGTTGTTTTGTGTTTTTTTTTAAAACACACACGTGTGAACCTCAAAAGAGAAGTTTTTCTACAATGGGGGATGGAGGGCAGACAGCAGGAAATAGGGAGCTGAAGTAATAGTAGGTGGTGAAATAAGAGAAGGTGAAGGAAGTAACCCGCATTTACTAGTATTGGGCATGAAGAACAGCAGCTTGAGAGGAAGAGAAGGTTGTGTTAGGATAATCAATGACAACCTCTTCTTTCAAAGCTATGTTCCAGGAAGGAAATCCAGACTGGAGGCAGATAACTGATAAAAGAGATAGAAAAACTTGGAAAGAAAGTCAGGCACACCTTTCCACTTCACTAAAGGAAAAAAAAAAAAAAAAAAAAAAAAAAAAGAGACTGATAAAAACACAAGGACTGTGGGGGAAAGTGAGGAATGTGAGGAAGTTCATTATCAGTTCACTGGCCCTGATATGCTCAGGGGCTTGAACTAGAAGCACAGAGAATGAGGGATGGAATATAAAAACAAGAGCAACCTGCACTTAGCTGGGAAAGGACCAGGGTCCCCTCTGAGCGTGAAAATGTATGTGCTTCAGATAGCAGATATTGTTAGGAAAATCATGCCTGTAGCTGTTACTAATCTAAAAGCAACTCTTTTTCAACAGCCTACAACAGCAATTTTCAACCAGTATGCTGCAAGAATTTTTAAACTATACAATACCCAACTATTTAGTCAGGGGCACTGACCTCTTCTCCCTTAGGTTGTCAAATGAAAAAAAGAAAGAAAAAAAAAGGCAACAGCCAACACAATAGCCATCCAGTGTGAATGAATCAAAATGATACCTTTTATTCTTATTAGATCAGCCAAAAGTACATTGTTTGGTGTGCCACAGAGCTTTAGTAATTAGTTTACGTATGATGTGAATTGAAAACTATGTAACTGGTTTATGTCAATTTTCTCTACATGCAGAAAATACACAAGTCTTCAAATACCAACTTATACTACACGAGAATTAAAGCAACCTAAGAAAATAGAACAAATATTCCAAGAATACCAATAAGTTCTGCTCTTTCATCTGGGAATCAAAACATCCTCATGTTGCCTAGTTTGTAAGTAGAATTAATGATTGGAGTTCACTACCAAAGAATTATTCTGTTATTTATTCCCTGACACATTTGTCCAGCAGGAGAAAAATATCACTAGACCACTGCCAGTGTGCTGTCCATGGGTGGGACAGATCATCTCCCCTATACAGTGACTTCTGAAAATCTCCAGATCGATTACTTTCTTTCTCCAGATAATAAATCACTTAACTGGCATGGAACTAGGAAGATGCATGTCCAAAACCCGGGAGGCCTGTTATAGTACAGAAATTAAAACGTGCCTCTAACCCAAATATCCTTGGGAAGAATTGAAGTGAATTAAATTGAAGTCTGCTCTGAGTCATTTCTTTAAAATATGTGATTAGAAATGTTGCCAAAATATGTGTGTGTTCACAAAGATATTATAATGGTGACTAGATTATCAGAGCTATGTACTCTCCTTATTCATTTTCTGATTATTTCTACAAATGACCCATAACCATAGAATTTTGAAATTAATAAAGTAATTATCCTTAAAGGGAAATAAGAATCCTATTCTGAGTGCTTACTTTTCTTTCAAACACTAATTAAGATAGATTAAATAGATGCACTTGTCCTACTGATATGAAAAAATTAAGCATTTAAAACTTTCCAAACACTCATTAATTTGTATGTTTAAATATTTAAATGCAAACCCAGTATACATCATCTCCAAAAAGGAGTTAAAGCCAGTTTTAAAAAAAATAACAAATCTACATAAAATTTTATTTTAGTTCATTAAAATAAGTTTATTTTATTATTTTTAAATACATCTTTATTGTTGAAAGTACTACAGATGTCCCTCTTCTTCACCCTATTCACCTCCTTCTCCCCACTTCTGCCCCTCCCCAGGCCTTCACCACACTATTGCCTGTGTCCATAGGTAACGCATGCAGTATATGCATATAAGTTCTTTGGCTAATATCTTCTTGGCCCCATCCCCTCCCTCTGAAAATAAATATTAAAAGAGGCTTTCAAGCATTATTTTTGTAGCTGAATTCTTTAATATATCATTGTTCTATTTAGAATAAAATGACTTCAGATAAATGCTACATCAATAATCAGCCCTGGGCCGGAGTGAAGGCCAGGTGTTCACATGTGCAGGGAGAGAGGCTGCATTAAGCAGGGGCAGGGAACATCTGAGCTGCAAGCCGTACAAAGCCCTGCAAGGCATAAAGGGCTAAGTTTTAAGCTGGCAATTTTGCATGGCCCTTAAATGATGTTTTAAATATATAAATGTCCCTTGGAAGAAAAAAAAGATGCTGCACTCCCATAATGTAACAAGAAATGAGCTGCTGCTTCTCATGGATAATTCCACCCGAATTAGAGTAAATTTTTCTTCAAATAAAAAAAAAAATAGGGAAGCCCTTTCATTTGATTTGTATAGGAAATCGTTGTCCTACAATAGTATGGCTGAAATGAGACTATCCAGCGGGCTCAGTGCATAATAGGAGCACAGCTGATACTACGGTGTTTAACTAGATACAGTAACTAGGTCTCCACCTGCAAGCAAAATACTCTAGATAGGGTGACAACTCGATCAGCAGTTAGCATTCGCTTTTACTAAAAACCCCAATGCCCAAGACTCCTGACTTTAAGAATTTGTCTTTTATCTAACCTATGTGTCTATACTCTCACCAGAAAAGACAGGCTAGATGACATAAGCAAGCAATTCCTTAAAATGCATGTATTCAATGGAAACATTCACTAATATCAGAATGACCACACCTACAAACCATGTTAGAACTAAAATAGCCAAAGAGAGCCAATCATCAAATGGTTTAATCACCTCTCCATCCACCTGCCACTACTTGGTTCCAAAGGGACCAGAGTCCTCCACTCCAGGATAAGGGTCCCCTGGTACAGAGTAATCTGATTCAAGTAAATATTTTCAGATAAGCAGACAAACTTCAGCAGATTTGGCAAAATAAATAAACTGGTTAAATCACTTGCATGTAAAAATTTGGGGTTATTAGTTTATTCTAAGTCATCTCAATCATTGAAAGTAACCAAATCAATCAAAGCTAGTCCCGTTCCCAAAGTCACACATATAATTACAAACTGCACCTGTTGTTGTTTATTAATGAGCTAAGAGTGCACAACTTGCTCTACTATAGTCATATGACAATACACTTTTGTAACCTGAGACAATTCCTGCTTAAAATATTTTAGTCACTTTCAGAGTCAAGTGATCTAAATGGGTAATTGGCAGACATCCTCCAAAGAAAATATTATCAGAGAAGGTTCAGAGACAGGTGTGGTTGTGAGTTAAAACCAGAAGAGAGATAAAGTTAATTTAGAATAAGAACTGGAGATTTTCCTTTACCCTTCAGTCCCCTACTGAATTTGGAAACGTAAATTTTCAATAAAATATATGATTTAAATGTCCTGAATTAGTATTCCTGTAATGTAACACATACATTATGTGTTGTAACTTCCCCGCACAAATCTTGTTTCATCTCTAGTCTTTAGAAACAATTCATAAATGTCCTTTAGAGTTTACAGTTTGCAAGTATGACTCTTATTTTCCTGAAAGAAGTGCAGCCATTCCCTTCATGGTATTTACCACTCGCTCCCCCGCCTCAATGTCCAGGAGATAGCGAGAGCGGGAAGATTTAGCAGTAACTGCAAACCAGCTACAGATGGAGACTCTGGGACCAGACAGCATGGTTCGCATCAGGCCTCTAATGAATCCCTGCTCTGCTCCCCCAGCTTCCCTAACCAGAAACAAATAATATGAAGGCGTACTTCGGAGAGTCATCAAGGTCATAAAATTAGTTAATTCATGATGATGTAAGAAATCAAACACTAGCTATTATTATTCTGAATTGTACATAACATAAAAGTTCTGTCAAAGTCTAATTTTGTGTCCCGAAATCAACAAATAAGATTTGCTTATTGTAAGTCAAATTTCAAAATAAAAATAACCTGACACCTACTTTTCCAAGAGTTTAATATCAAATTGACACCTCTAACTGACTAACAGATTAGGATCTATTAAGTACCTGAAATTTCCAAACAAAATGATTCAAATTCGTAACTTGATTTTAGATTCTTAATGCCAGTTTAAATCAGTGGTCCTGTTTTAAAACTTTAGTGTGCATGAGTATCACATGGAAAGCTCATTAAAATGCAGGTGAAGGGAGCACCCAGAGTTCCTGACTCCCTGGGGCTCGGTTTGTGGCAAGGAACCTGCATTTCTCATGACTTCCCAGGGAAGCCTGGCTGTGGTTCTGCACTTGGAGAACCTTTGTTGAAGATTAACAAACACAGAGACAGAACCACACAAAACTCAGAAGAAATAACCAAAACGTATCTTCTTAGCAAAGGCATCTACCCAAATGGTTCTCTGATAACAGAGATTACAGTTAGAAATATTTGTGTGTGTGTTTATGTGCATGCATACCCACAGCAGTATTTATACCATGATAATAGCAATACAGGGATCCATGAAGTTATTTACTCCCCAACACCAAAACCTTGGTTAACAGAAAAAAATAGTTTCTATGTAAATTCTGTTCAAAAAAAGCATAAAAGACACTTTATATAATAAGCCTGGCAATTAGATACAACTGTTTTTCTTTCTAATGTAATTTTGGAATTTTGTCATTTATAATGGGAGGAAACTGTTTCATCTACAAAAAGTTGATCAAACACAGATTAAAATAATAACATTATTAACCAGGAAAAGAAAGGCAAAGAGCAAGAGATTTAACATCCCTAACAAGCACAGATTCCGAGTTAATATAATTACTCTCTTACAGCAGAATACATCCTCCAATGTTGAGCACAGTACATTTTCAGGTAAACAGCCATCTAAGGAACAAGCTTGCAATCTTCTCCAGGAAGCAGACTTCAAAAGGCTTGGATTTATCCTTGCAGGGAAAAATACCCAAAAGAACTCATACAGCATCAACTATATGGCAGGTCTCAGTAAAAAGCCACAAGATTTAAAATTGCCTTTTAAAAGATGACTTTTCACCCACCCTGCCCCTCATTCCCCAAAGAAATAAAAGCAGAAGTCATAAAAGTGGACAAACGGAAATCTAGTGTCTGCATAGCCTTGAGCCCACAGCACTTGAAGGTAATTTCTGATTGTGGAGTCCTCTCTTCCGCTCACGCTCTATTTCTCTCTAGAAACCTCAAGACTTTACTGATGAGAACTCTGCAAATTCTCTACCATAAAGAGTTTTAACAACTAAGCTAAGACATTAAAAAGGAAAATACCAGATGCCACCCTGCAGTTGAACTGACTACCACTTACTGGATACATTTAAATCCTCCAAGCAACAGAGTAACCAGGTAACTTTATATCTAGAAGTATCTGACACTTTGTATTTACACTATGTATTTATACTTTGACATGTGGGCATTTTTTTTCCAGGTTTTCTTAAAATTGGAAACCTTTAGTAACAATATCAATGCAAGTACTTATTTGGGATAAAAATTAAAATATAATCCACAATAATGGTGTTAGAGATAGCAATTTCATTTTAAAACTTACAGAGGACTGAAATAAAATACAAATGATCTTACTAATTTTATATCAAATGTGGAATTAGACTTAAATAGAGAGAGCTGAAATTCTGCAGATTAAGAATATTTGTTAAATAAATTACAGTCTATGCAAAATGAGTAATCCCAAAGTAGAATTTCCAAAACTATCCAAGAATATACAACTCAAAACAAATAGCAGTAGCAAAGAAGGTTAAAATAAATCAGTGATTTTATACAATTACATATTGTTTTTGGTTTGTTTTAGGTTAAACAGGTGAGAGGTGAGGAGGTGTTGAAAACTGAAGCCATAATTGTGACAATATGAATGAATCTTGTTTTACTTTCAATAATTAAAGGATGTAAAAAATTAATTCTACTGACATGTGGGGTATTTAGTTCTACATTTATTTGTCATATTTAAATATTTTATATGGAAGTTTTAAAAAATTTAGATAACTGTAACATTACCATATCTTATATTTAGGAATTATATTCTATAAACAATCAATTCCATTGTCTTTGATGAAATAAAAATGTTACAAATATCACTTTTAGTTTCAAAATTTAGATGTCAAATAATATATTCAAGTGAAGGGTTAGTTTTCTTTACAGCTGCTTGTTGGGGTATCGTAACCTATGGAACCAGATGTGAACATGATTTTGCTTTGTAATTATAGCTACCATTATATTTGAAGCTAAAGAATGAGTGCCTATTTTTTGAATGGGTGCCAGCAAAATAGAGGCAGAAATATCCTTCAATTACAAAGGACATTTTATAAGTAAGTAATATACTGAATGAGAAAGAAAAAATGTCTTTCTGATTCAGTATCTTACTTATTTAATCCTAATAGGCAATTATCAGTTATTTCTTCTTAGAATGCTTTGATGGTACAAGTAGAGTAAGTGAAGTCCAGGAATAAGGGTGGTGCAGAAACAGTGACTGAATAGAAGCAAAAGAACTTTTTAAAGGCATAGAAATGAAACCGGAGAACAAAGTATAGCTCTAATATTGTTCTTCTAGACTTTATATATAAGCATATGGATATTTTTTACCTATGATAAAAAATGTTCTAAAGAGGCAAGTATTCAACAAATAAATACAAAATATCCATATCTTCACATAATTCAGACCATTTTACTTTCCTAGAAGCAGAATATGATGAAATATGAGATTGTTTTCTTTGGTCTTACTAGCTGCCACGATGAGAATTAGAAAGCTCAGTTTTTAAAGAAGGCTGTCCAGAAAAGTTACACACAGAGACAAAAGCAAAATCAGCTACTGGCACTGAAGATAACCACCACTTTTCCCCTCCAGGTATCAAAGAGGGAACGCGGCATGGACAACCTCACCTCTCCTCCGGGGAATGGCAGCCTGTGCACCAGAGACTACCACATCACCCAGGTCCTCTTCCCGCTCCTCTACACTGTCCTGTTTCTCACTGGACTTGTCACAAATAGCCTGGCAATGAGGATTTTCTTTCAAATCCATAGTAAATCCAACTTTATTATTTTTCTTAAGAACACAGTCATTTCCGACCTTCTCATGATTCTGACTTTTCCATTCAAAATCCTCAGTGATGCCAAACTGGGAACAGGACCACTGAGAACATTCGTGTGCCAAGTAACCTCCGTCATATTCTACTTCACAATGTATATCAGCATTTCCTTCCTAGGGCTGATAACTATCGACCGCTACCAGAAGACCACCAGGCCATTTAAAACATCCAGCCCCAGCAATCTCCTGGGGGCTAAGATTCTTTCTGTTGTCATCTGGGCCTTCATGTTCTTACTCTCTTTGCCTAACATGATCCTAACAAACAGGAGGCCGAAAGACAAGAATGTGAAGAAATGCTCTTTCCTCAAATCAGAGTTTGGTTTGGTCTGGCATGAAATAGTCAATTATATCTGTCAAGTCATTTTCTGGATTAATTTTTTAATTGTCATTGTATGTTATACACTCATTACAAAAGAACTATACAGGTCATATGTAAGAACAAGGGGTACTGGCAAAGTTCACAAGAAAAAGGTGAACATCAAAGTTTTCATTATCATTGCTGTATTTTTTATTTGCTTTGTTCCCTTCCACTTTGCCCGGATTCCCTACACCCTGAGCCAGACCCGGGATGTCTTCAACTGCTCTGCAGAGAATACTCTGTTCTATGTGAAGGAGAGCACCCTCTGGTTAACGTCCTTAAATGCATGCCTGGACCCATTCATCTACTTTTTCCTTTGCAAGTCCTTCAAAAATTCCTTGATGAATATGCTGAAGTGCACCAATTCTGCAACATCTGCTCCCCACGAAAACAGGGGGAAAGGTCAGGATGGTAGGGACCCAAGCGAAGAGACTCCAATGTAAACACACTGAGGTAAGATCTCAATCTGTTAACCAGATTGAAATATTAGTGTTTGGAACTCCTAAAAGAAAACACTATGTAAAAATATTAATACTAAGAAGCAGCTGAGTAACAATGACTCTTGAAACAACAAAGACTACAAAAGTAATTTTAATTTACTGTTCAGGTATTAAAAGCTATCGTAAAATGTAGAAAACTAAATTAACATGTAGCTGTGGAGCAAAACAAACAAAATCACCATATGACATGCAAAACTACACATAATTCAAGAATTCTATAGTTTTGGCAAAATAGGTAACAATAATGATACTATAATTCTTTAAATTCATTATTAATCACAATATTAGTACACTTACTATATAATCAATTGAAGAATGATAAATCTGATAAGATCTTCTGACCAAAAATTATACTTATCTATAATAATAAAAACATAATATGCTAATTAGACTGGGCACCAGAATGACCTCCCGGACGTCATTCTGGACATCCTTCCAGATGACCTTCTGGAAGAAGCCGGGGCTGCGAGGGCCGAGCCCCTTGCACAGATTTCATGCATTGGACCTTTAGTTAGATGTATATTCAATCCTAGTCTCCTAACCAAATGCTGACCTATTGTGATAATCATTATAAAAATTCAAGTAAGTGGGGCAGACAAAAAATACTAACTACTAACTTATAATTATCAGCAAAGACCTAAGAGACTTATACTAATTGAAATGGAAATAGATTGGACTGAATTTTTTTAATGTTCATTAAGATAGAAGATTAAAAACTACTTTTCCAATAAAAAGTATAGAAATAGCAAATGAAGTCATTAAATAAGGAGGCTTTATATAAGACATTCTAATATACACATACACACATACAAAACAACAAAAAAACACATAACATTCCCTTCACACTAGAGAAATCAGTTTTACTAATATTTTGACAACATTAGTAAATACAATAGCATCATAACTTATTAACTAGCTACTAGAGACTACACACAAGCTAATAAACATTTCTCATAGCAAGAAAAGCAAATGTAATTAAGCATTTGTATAGCATAATTATCAACAGGAAAGTGATTAAAATGGTTGGATTTATGCCCTTGCTGGTTTGTGCAGTGTTTTGGGCACTGGCCCTCAGACTGAAGAGTCCCAGGTTCGATATTTCTCTCTCTGCCTCTCCCCCTCCTTCCCACTCAGTCTAAAAATCAATGGGATAATGTCCTCAGGGGAGGATTAATAACAACATCAAAATGTTTGGATTTATCTGTTTGTTATTTGTGTGTATAACAAAAAATTTACATTAAACTCTAAATCATACTTTGTTAAAGATTCTTTGTTCAAAGATATAAGATACCATGACTTACTTCCTATCTTCCCCCTACCTCAACTGTCAAATCCATGTAAGAAAGATTAGCTGCCAAGATCTTTACAACAGAATATTGAGAAAATCTTCTGAAGGTGACATCTCACATCAACTAATTCATATGTAAATAAGAAACCAGGTCAGACTTCAATGTAGTCTGATTCCACAGAAGCCATGTTCATTATTCTTAATATAAATAAAATATACAATACACTGGGAATTATGACATCATTTATCTTAATTATATATAATCCTCAGAGGTGATTATCAAACAGAAAGCATAGATTCCAATATCTAAATATACTATGAGAAGAAATTAAAAGGCTGAATCCTATATAATAAAAGCCTAATATGCTAAGTGTCCAGTCATCTGTTCTACCAAAGTATAATATGCTAATGATATGCTAATTTCTCTTAACTGCTCACTATGATGTGCACTGACCACCAGGGGGCAGATGCTCCAATGGCAGGTTAGCTTGCTGCTGGGTTCTGGCAGATCAGGACTAAGTTAGTTGGGCTGGACATGCCAATGGAGCCCTCCTGCGCCCCTCCCTGGCCCTGATCATATACCAGTGGGGTCCCTTGGCCTGGCCTGCACACTCTTGCAATCAGGGAAACCTTGGGGGATGTTGAAGAGGTGGTTTCAGCCCAATCCCACAGGCCAGGTCAAGGGAACACACTCATGCACAAATTCATGCACCGGGCCTCTAGATGTAGTATAAGGAAGCTCACTGAATTTCAATAATAATAGATTTTATCCAAACCCTCTACAAGTTGTGCTGAGTTAAATTTCAGTACAAACCTGAACTCAATTAATTCTCTGAATGAGTTATATCCTATAATAAATATGTATTTAATAAATAAATTTAATAAATAAATCAATATCCCTTCTCCAGCAGCCACACTTCTTTCTCCTGCACTACTCCAAGTGAGCACTGGATGCCAGCAGAGATGCAGAGACATGCATCCAAACAGATGCCTATTTCATGTGTTGCAGGCACAACAGCAGTAGCCATTTCCGCATTGTAAACTAATGCAATCCATTTTAATGTCATATTCTGTAATACTACGAGGATATTTGAGCTGGAAGAGAAATGAGAGTTCAATTATCTGACCTTCTTAATTTGTGTGTGGGAAAAATACAAAGCAGAGCCACCCCTCACCCACCCAAGTGAGGGTAGAGAATATATAAAAGCTGACACATCACAATGCCAGGTTCATGTGAAGTGTTGAGAAACTACAGAATGGGTAAAAACCTGCATAATCTTTCATTTTGGCCTAAACTAATTCACTGAGAGGTCAATTTCTACAAGAGAACTAAAAGAAAACAAGAAACACTAAAGGTATAATGATACTCTTGTGGAAAAAAAAATTTTAAGTGTTTGGAACTACTTAGGTTTTTATATATAACTAGAGGCTGGGTTCATGAAATTCGTGCATGGATAGCGGCTGTAGGCCTGGCCGGTGATCAAGGCTGATCAGGTTCTCCACCTCTTCCTTTGCTCACCAACTGCGCACCACCCCTCCCTGCCTTCTCCTTCCCTTGTCACTTGCACACCACCACCACACAGTTCCCCCCACTTCCCTACCTCCTCCTTCCTTCACCGTAATTGGGCTGCCACTACATGGTTCCCCCTCCCCTCCTTTCCTCTCTCCCTCAGTGCCCCACCACCACTGGTCTCCCACCATGTTCCACACCACCCCTTGGTGGTCAGTACACATCATAGTGAGTGACCAAACTCCCGTTATCCCAGTCAAATTCCCAAGGACACTTTGCATATTAGCCTTTTATATATGTAGATATGAAAAATTTCATTAACTCTATATCACACTTTGTTGGGAAGTCTTTATGCAAAGATATTAGACAGTAAATTAGCATATTCCTATAACAAACTGAATCCATTCAAGACAGATGAAGAGATCAGTATTTGAAGTGCTTATTACACATAGAACATGTTACTATCTCCAGCTTAGAATCTTTAATATACGTAATTCCTCCCACATTTCATAATAACTTTAAAAAAGGGGAAGCCAAATTTTGTACACTGAGTCCCAGAAGTTGAAAAGTTCTGAAATAAGACAAAATGTATTCTTGTCTGAGGCCTCTGGGCACTGCATGCTGGTCACTGGCAGTTTTTCTCAGTAGTTCCTAACAGAAATGGTATAGAGCAGGTGCGGCAAATGTCGTGGGTTTTTGTATAGCCAGTGACCTAAGAATAGATTTTACATTTCAAATGTTTGTGGGGATAAAAGTTAGAAGGGTAAAAGCTCAGGCTGCATTAAAGTTATATGAAATTCAAGTTTCAGTGTTCATAAGATTTTATTAGAACACAACCATACCCACTGGGGTTTTACCGGCTGTCACAACAGGAATAAGTAGTTGTGTTGTAGACTAGGTGGCCACAAAAGTAGTTACTAGCCAGTTCTTTAGAAAACTGACAACTCCTGAACTAGAACTTTAAAAGCAGAAGAAAACCCCTACACAGAAAACAAATAAACAAACAAAAAAACACCCTGTCTTCAAGCACCAGGATGCTTCAGAGGCTTTGCACAGTAAACAGCTGCAGTCTAGTGGCTGATTAGGTGGCCTGCTGGTGGGGAAAGCCGAAAGTGGGACTACAATAATGCCAGTGGGAACTAAGCATGTGGAAACACACTTAAACATCTCTAAGTAAAAAGAGACAGCGTGAGTATTAAAAAAATGGGGAAAGGGCTTGAAAATCAATTTCCAGGAGAAATACAAATGGACAGTATAATATAAATACATATATATCACTGATAATCAAATAAGTATACTTAAATGACCTGGCTTTTTTGCACCATGAGTTTAGAATTGATTTACAAGTGTGTTATTTTTTAAAATAGATTTTAATTGATGTTTTACAGAGAGGAAGGGAGAAGGATAGAGAGTTAGAAACGTCGATGAGAGAGAAACATCGATCAGCTATCTCTGGCACAGCCTATAATGGGGATGTGCCTGCAACCAAGATACATGCCCTTGACTGGAATCGAACCTGGGATCCTTCAGTCAGTAGGCTGACAGTCTATCCACTGAGCCAAATCGGTTAGGACTGATTTACAAGTTTTTAAGCAGGGTGTTATAGAATCCCATTCAGTGAGACTACAAATCAGAACAATCTTTCTGGAAAGCTATTGGAAAATACCATTCTACATATGAAGCAGTGTTTGATCCAGCATTCCACTTCTAGGGAACTTCCTATAAAAAGTATGTTGCAACAAATACACAAAAATATATATAATAGATACGTATTGCTCTAAAGTACTGTGTTGTTGTTGTTTTCATATATTTTTATTGATTTCAGGGAGGGAGAGGGAGAGGGAGAGGGAGAGGGAGAGGGAGAGGGAGAGGGAGAGGGAGAGGGAGAAAAAAAGGGAGAGGGAAAAGGAGAGGAAGAGGGAGAGGGAGAGGAAGAGGGAGTGAGAGAGGGAAAGAGAGAGGGAGAAGGAGAGAGATATCAATGATGAAAAAAAATCATTGATCAGCTGCCTCTTGCATGACCCCTACTGGGGTTCAAGCCGGCAACCTGGGCATATGCTCTTAACTGGAATCCAACCCAGGACCCTTCAGTCCACGGCTAACACTCTATCCACTGAGCCAAACCAGCTGCTACAGTACTGTTTTTTTAATATAAGAAAAAATGGAAAAAAATAAATGCCCAACAAATTAACTAAACTATAACTTTATATAGTGTAATATTTTTAAAAAATTAGGGAACTCATCATGTACTGACATAAAACAAAGATCCAATATATCAGTAAATGTAAATATATATGTACATATACATATTTCCAAACTATTGGTATTATATGTAAGGGGGATTAACTTTCAATTACAACTATATACACGTCTATATTTAAATTCTTTAAACTTTATAAAAAATATAAAGCTGAATCTTTATATAAGTGTGAATCAATTGTTATTTCCAGTCATAGGTCCAGACTTTCTAATATTGAATTTAATAATTGACAAGGATTACTACATTTAACTTGAAATTGCACAATTTAATTTAGCTTATTATTACCACTTTTGGTTAATCCAGTGTGAAACTTCTTAAACAATTTCATATAATCTGAGAAAGTACCATGGTAAACCTTGATGGGAAATAAAAGGTTCTTCTATAAGTACAGGAGTTTCCATCTTGACTTCCATTCCAAATAAAAGTAAATACTTCTTCTTTCACATATTATTTACATGGCACTGGTGACCATGTCAACAGGAACCTTTAACCGTTAACTCTGATCCAAAGAAAAATCCCAAAGGAGACTACAAATGTAGTTATTCCCATTTTGCAGGCTTCTAATTTTATGTTATCTTCTTTGATTTTCTCCTAATTATATTGCTTTGAAACAATTTATGTTTTCAACCTCACACCTCACTTTAAGACAAGAAATTTCACAAGTTCATTAACTTTATAGTTGATTGTTTCTTCTCATTCATCATTCAGTTATGCCACCTCAAAAACTCCAGAATTTGCTAAACAATTCCATGGTCACCTTATCTGTGGCTTCTAACAGCCAGGAGAGTAAGGCAGACTCTGAGGGTGGGGCCTGGAGCCAGACTGTGGGTTTACAGTTGGCCTGAGCTGCATGATCTGGGGCGAAGTGCTTAACTTCCACACTTCTGTTTTCTCATCTGTAAAATGGGACTATCTCTGCTGTAAGAAATAAATAAGATCATATTATCAACAGAACAGCACAGCCAATGTGATTTTATTAGTTTTAACTATATTCCCTTTTGAGTCCAATAAGATTTTATTTATTTAAAAAAATATATTTTTATTGATTTCAGAGAGAATAGGAGAGGAAGAGAGATAGATAGAAACATCAAAGATGAGAGAGAATCATTGATTGGCTGCTTCCTGCATGTCCTTATTAGGAGTCAATTCTGCAGTCTGGGCATGTGCCCTGACTAAGCCACACCAACTGGGTGGATTTTGAATGTTTAGTTTATTTCCACTTGAAAAGCACCTAATTTCTGGAACCTTTACTTATATTTTACTAGAGGCCTGGTACATGAAATTCATGCACATGGTAGGGTCCGTAGGCCTGGCTGGCAATCAGGGCTGATTAGAGCCTTCCTTCATTCCATGCCACCCACTGGTTGTCAGTGCACATCAGAGCAAGCAGTCAAACTCCCAGTTGGTAGAACTCCCAAGGGGACAATTTGCATATTAGCCTTTTATTATATAGGACTAGAGGCCCGGTGCATGCAATTTGTGCACAGGAGGGGGGAGGGTGTCTCTCGGCCCAGCCTGCACCCTCTCCAATATGGGACCCATTGAGGTATGTCCCACTATCTCTTGCAATCAGGGACCTCTTGCCTGTCTGCCTACCTGAATGCCCCTAACCCCTCTGCCTGCCTGCCTGATGGCCCCTAACCACTTCTGCCTGCCTGCCTGATTATCCCTAACCACTACCCTGTGGGCCTGATTACCCCTAACCACCTCTGCCTTGCCCCAAACCTGGACCCAGGATTCCCTCCTCCAGCTGGTCGCAGGCACCCAGGACTCAGGTTTCCCTCCCTCTGGCTGGCTGCAGGCAACCAGGAACTGGGTCAACTTTGCCCAGGCTGACTGCAGGCACAAGAGACCATGGACGATTGGCTTTGACCAGGCCACAGGGGCAGATACTGGCACCCGGGACCATGGGGCGGGCAGCGTTTCCCTCTCCTGGGCCACAGGAGCAGGAATAGCCACTGGCACCTAAGACCAAGGGGCATATGGCTTGTCCCTCTCCTGGCTGCAGCCTGGCTGGTCCCCATTCCTCTCTCACAAGCTTATTTGTGCCTGGCTGGTCCCCATTCCTCTTTCCCCATTGTTGAGTGTCTGAGCCATTACAGTGTGAAGGCATAAGGGAGTGATGACCATTTGTATATTAGCTCTTTATTATATAGGATTTGATTCTTCCCTTCTGACTTTCATGAGTTATCCCACAGTTCGACATTATATTCCACTTTTCTTTTAATTTTAGTTAACAGAAACCATACCAATAGCTACCAAGTCACAGGACTCATCCTCCATACAATTTTCAACTATTGTATCCCTTACAGGGGTCTTCAAACTACGGCGGAGTCTGATCTGGCCCGCCAGGTTTTTTGGGCAGTGAGCGCAGCCGAGGTGTTACAATAGGAATTAGTAGTTCATATAGTCCGGCCCTCCAGCTCTCTGAGGGACCGTGATCTGGCCCCCACTTTAAAAAGTTTGAGGACCCCTGCAAGTTTAACAACACAAAAAAGCAGACACCATTACTTATTTTCATATATAAAGAGGAGAAAATGGTTTCATAGAGAGCATAAATAACTTGCCAAGGGTCATAGGAAAAGAGTTAGAATAAGGAAACGAACCCTGCACTTTGGCTCCTGAGGCAGTGTTCATATCTGCTCTGCTGGGCAGCCTCTCAGAAACACTATCAAGGGCAAAATACCTCCCCAAGGGGCCACGGCAACAGATGAGAACAAAGAAAGACGGCCAATACACACTAAGCACATAGGCAGGCGTGATCTATGGAATATTTACTATGATTAAAAACTTTGAAACCTACCAACACATTTAAAAGAATACACTTCCATAACTTTAGAAATGGATATCACTTGAGTTCCCCTTTTGAAAGTTTCCCACACTTTGGCATTTTGAAATTTGACCAAAAGGTGATTTCCAGTTTTTACATGACGAAATGAATTAGTTCAGCATTTCCCTTGTTTAAAGTGAAACTATTCCAAACCTTCAATGGGTTTTCCACTATTAGAAAATGTATACTTACTTATGTAAGTGAAATCCCTCTACTTAAAAAATAAAACTAAAATGTCTTGTTTGTTTTTTACTATCTAATAAAACAAACAAAAAGGTTGTTTAAATTATGTTCCATTGCATTAATGAAATTCAGAATTATATTTCCAAGAATTTGAGTCAAACACATTTTTTTCAAACTGTGTCACCATAGGTTAGTTCTAATCAAAATCATCATGCATCCCATTGACTCATATTTTAAAATGTTTGGTGGATTATGGAGTTTTATTCTAAGAATCCCAAGCCAAGCCACTGAAAAATTCTCTATCAGTCCAACAGTCTACTCCAACTCTGTGGTTAAACTTGTAGCACAAAATATGAAGTGAAACTCACCATGGAGAACTCCACATTCCCTTATAAGATCTCTAAATTTCCTCTTTCCCTCTACCTATCTGGCAAGATAACATTTGTATTATAGATTTTTGTTTATTCAAAAGCAGCAATTAGCCTGGCCAGTGTTGCTCAGTGGATAGAGCGTCGGGCTCCAGACTGCAGGGTCCCCGGTTTGATTCCTGGTCAGGGCACATGCCCAAATTGCGGGCTCAATCCCCAATGTGATGTATGCAGGAGGCAACCAATAAATAATTCTCTCTCATCGTTGATGTTTTACCTCTCTCCCCTTCTCACTTCCTCTCTGAAATCAATAAAAAATATATGTATTTTTTTAAAAACCAGCAATTACTCTTTCAAACTTGAAGAGATCTTAAAGAAAAAAACTGTGTAGACCGTGGCCCAATTTTGATTGATGGATAAAATTTCTGAAGTCTATAGCACTTGTCATATAACATCAAATACAGGAAAGATCTCCAAAAATGGTTTTCTAGTAAATGAGATAGTATGTCACCATTTAAATCTATAATTCCCACACCAAGGCAGTAAGTGAGTAACATTTTTCAGCCAGCACTATCCCAGGCCCTCCCTTCATCCCCTCAGCAAGACTATAGGGTGGTATACACCATTACCACACCCATCACACAGAGGAGGCTGCAGCACAGAGCCATCAAATCAGCTGTCTGTGATCTAGTGCACAGTAATTGGTGGATGTGGGATTCTGACTCCAAAAATCTGGGTCTATTAGCCCTTAACTCTTAGCAAATATGTCATTTTCTCTTTCAGAGATGGAAAGACCAAAAGACCAAGATAAATGTTTATAGAAACAAACAGGCCATCATACTGAACACAAACTTCTGGGGAAAACAGTCTAGAAGGATGCAGATAATGATTCTACCTGATTTTAGAGTCAACTATTACACTTTTTGTAATTTGGGGCTATTTTCTTTATCTTTTTGCCTCCCATTAATATATACAGGAGGCACTCAAAAATTTCATTAAACAACTATTGATAGATAAACAAGATTAAGCTGCAGGAAAGTTACACTATGGGAAAATGCAAAGAAACGGCAACTAATTTATGCAAATCATAGTATATGAAGAGCACATGTTTGAAATAAAAGAGGTTTCTTATTAGAAAGCCCTCCAAAGGTCTGAATGTGAAGAGATTCCAATAGATCACGTTACACTGTGAAATGAGGAAGGAAAGTGGGTTTAAGAAAGCAGAAGGGCTTGCTTCACACGCTCTTCTCTTCAGGGGCTGATCTAATGACTGCCTCAAGCAGGAGACAGCAAGCGAGCCTCCTTCCAAACAAAGGTGAGTTTCAATTTTTATTATAAGTGTGCTTCCTTATAAATGGTAGACTATACACAAGGGGGGAAATGTTTTAAGGTTAACATTCTACAAACTGTAGATTAGGAGCATAAGGAATTATATAATGTACAGTGATCTGACATCGATTAGTACCTCTCAAATGGGGTTTTGTTTTACTGTCATAGTAAGATTAGCACTTGCGAACTGGACCTGTTATTTGGATTTCATAATGCTGTATTATGATGTTACAAGTACCAAAAGCATATTATGTACTTTAAAAACCTGAATTAGCTGTACCTTCTCCACTGATCTATTGAATGTGATAATGTCAACACAGACTATTAATATGCCACAAACCTAAAGTCTGTTTTTTGTAAAAGCAGTATTTTGAAATCAAGAAAGGTTTTGTGTTACTGTGTGTCTATCTTTGTTTATTTGTAACAGCTGACACTGGAAATCATGAATGCCTCGGTGACGAAGGGCTTCAATGGGTCTGAGTCGTGCCCCAGGGACACACGGATAGCACAGCTGGTGTTCCCAGCCATCTACACCGTCATTTTCCTCACCAGCATCTCGCTGAACACTCTGGCCCTGTGGGTGTTCATCCACATTCCCAGCTCCTCCACCTTCATCGTCTACCTCAAAAGTACTCTGGTGGCCGACTTGGTAATGACATTCATGCTTCCCTTTAAAATCCTCTCGGACGCACACCTGGGACCCTGGCAACTCAGAGCCTTTGTGTGTCGCTTCTCTGCCGTCATATTCTATGAGACCATGTACGTGGGCATCATTCTTCTGGGCCTCATCGCCTTTGACAGATTCCTCAAGATCATCAGACCTTTTGGAAAATTCTTTGTACAAAAACCCGCTTTTGCAAAAGCAGTCTCAACCTTCGTGTGGTTCCTTTTGTTTCTCATCTCTCTGCCAAACATGATCTTAAGCAACCAGAAGATGACACCGTCTACTGTGAAAAAGTGTGCCTCCTTAAAGAGCCCGCTGGGGCTGAAGTGGCACCAAGCGGTGAATTATATTTCCCAGTTCATTTTCTGGACAGTTTTTGCCTTAATGCTCCTGTTTTATGTGGTGATTGCAAAAAAAGTATATGATTCTTACAGAAAATCAAAAAGTAAGGATAGCAAAAACAAGAGGAAGCTGGAAGGTAAAGTGTTTATTGTCGTGGCTGTCTTCTTTCTGTGTTTTGCTCCATTTCATTTTGCCAGAGTTCCATACACTCAGAGTCAAACCAACAGTAAGACTGACTGTAGACTGCAACATCAACTGTTTATAGCTAAAGAAACAACTCTCTTGTTGGCAGCAACAAACATCTGTATGGATCCCTTAATATATATTTTTTTATGTAAAAATTTCACAAGAAGGTTATTATGCAGGAGAGGAAGAAAGAGTACAGCATCAACCCAAGACAATCATACCAGTCAGACAGACAATATATCCCTAAACTGATGACTTTAACATGGCTCACTTCTATTTATGGACTAGATTTCAAAGCACAATTTATTTGGAAGTAACATTTAAGCAATAAAAAAGGATTAAAATAAATGTTTTCTTCTCCTGATATACAGAAAGGATTATATAAATTTAATTCCACATAGATGTGTTCTTAAGCAGAATGAGGTGTCATTAAGAGAATGCAACAGATAGCCACTAGATGTCATCTTTTCTAGAACATTCACTTACATTTTGGAAAAGATTTTTTTTAAAAAAATATATTTTATTGATTTTGTACAGAGAGGAAGGGAGAGAGAGAGAGAGAGTTAGAAACATTGATGAGAGAGAGTCATCAATCAGCTGCCTCTTGCATACCCCCTACTGGGGATATGCCCGCAACCAAGGTACATGCCCTTGACCGGAATCGAACCCGGGACCTTTCAGTCCCCAAGCCAGCGCTCTATCCATTGAGCCAAACCGGTCCCGGCACATTTTGGAAAAGATTTTTTGTGGATAAATGTATATTCCAAAAAACCTCCCCTCCATAACACCTTCTTACATTGTTTTATACACATAATTCAAACAGCACTCAGACTCTGTCTTCCAAAAGTGTTGATACTTCTGAATTTGGGGGGAAACAAAACTGCCTTGAAAGTCCTTTGGTGAAGCTGAAACCTCAGGGTGGAAAGGATGCTACACTGAAGCATCCGGGGAGCCAAGAGCTCCTTACAGTTACAAAGAGCCTTTTCCATGTTATTGTAACTCACCAAAGGAGGCACGGGCATCATATTTAAGCCACAGGAAACACTGTGCTGCAACACTTTGCTCACATGCCAAGAGCATACAATTCAAAGGCAAAAATACTGTATTCTGCTTCTTTACAATTTTCCCTCTGCCCAGCAAATCCTCTAATGGTGCCTTGAATGTGTTTAATTAGCAAAGCCTTCCTGGGCAACAACTTCTATCCTCCTGCTTCCCACTCTGGTTAAAAATAATTGCTTCTCCAACTGTGTAGCATGTTTTAGGGCACTCATTGTATATTTCCCTTTTCCAGCACACTGTACTCTTGAATGCATCCCCTGAAGATGGTTAGGATTCTCTAAGAAAAATGTCATTTTTTTTTCTTGGTAAATCCCACAATACTTCCCACAGACCCTTGGTTATAAATGTTTTAAATAAAATATGTCAAAATATTATGCTATTCTTGGTACATACATAGATGAAACTGCTGACCCACAACTAGTAACATCCATACTGGGGTATTTTTCAAAGGATGGAGCCCTACTTGTACTTACTTACTTCCTGAATACCTTTGTGGATCAAAAAAAAACAACTACAAAATGGTTATCTGGTATTGTAGATGGCAACTTAAAACTGCCAGAGAGAATGCACAGAATGCTCAAGCTCTGTAAATGTGCCTCCAGCTACAGCGCTATCATCGGTGAATCTCAGGTCTCTTCCTCAAGGGCACGGAGGCCCTGGAACCTGCCCACCGCTCAGGCCTCATCACCTCACTGCTTTTCCATCCCTGGAACATTATACTCTTTTACAAACCTCAACATGCCAGGCTCCTTTTTTGCCCTTGTGCCATTGCACTTGTAAATTTACCTCTGACTCACCAAGAAAACTCTAATCCCTCCCTAAAACCTTGCGTTGGCATCACCTAGTCCATGAAATATGATCTGGCCAACCTCCCGCCTCCATCTCAAACCCAGTCCCTCCCTGTCTGTGCCTCAATAGCCGACCTTCTCCCCCTGCACTGTGATGACGCCTCCCACAGACAGGCACCGACTGTATAAGGAAGCCCCCTATACTTCTGAAGCAGAGATTGTGCTCATTGTGAGATCCATAAAGGTTTGATAATAAACCAAATTGGCTTTATTTTTACATACTAGAAAAGCAAAAGGAGAGTCCATTTCACTGATGTTTTCATTATCGAAAGATGATTACACGTTTATCGAAAGTTCTTTTCGGTTGAGTTCCTACAGCTTGGACAGAGGCCGGGAAAGTGGGTTGTTCTTGGGTTCTCTACTGAGTGCTCATGAAGGACGCAGGATGACTGCACAGCTGGGGAACTGATGTCTATTTACAGATCAGTTTGACACTATTGGCAAAATGCTCCAGCTATGAACTGTTGGTTTGGGGTAAGTAAAATTTGTAACTGCAGTCTGTTATAAAATCCCAAACTCTCCTTTTACAAAGTTCTCTTGAAGTCTGAGTTTTATTCTCTCGAATATAAGAATTAGATGACAGCAATTGTTAGTGATGTCACTAAATGCACAGTACTTTTACTGAATATATTACATATTCATGAGTATACTCTAATACAGTATTATAAAAAAAAAAAAACTGCATCTAGATAATGTATAGTTTTTGCAAAGGTCTTCCAAGATAAAGTTTCAATAGCAAATTTGTCCTCCATAAACACAAATATTTAATTTTATTGCAATAACATTATAATCAAAAGTGGAGTACCCGGTGTATAGAATAATCTAACAAGAACTTAGAGCAAAGGCATAGTAGAGCCATCTTAAAATCATAGAAAATGCAAAGCAACTATTTGAGAACAAATTCCCAAATTGGCATCAAAATACTAAGTTCTGGAATACTTATGCTATACCACAGCCATTAATGACACACAAAAAATAGTGGGTTTTTTTGTTTGTGTGTGTGTGTGTGTGTGTGTGTTTTAAATATATTTTTTATTGATTTTTTACAGAGAGGAAGAGAGAGGGATAGAGAGTTAGAAACATCGATGAGAGAGAATCATGGATCAGCTGCCTGTTGCACACCCCCTACTGGGTATGTGCCCGCAACCAAGATACATGCCCTTGACCAGAATCTAACCCAGGATCCTAGTCCGCAGGCCAACGCTCTATCCACTGAGCCTAACCGGTTTCGGCTGTATGTGTATTTTTAAAGTAGTTTTGATATAATGCATGAGCTTAGAGAACAATTAAGGACTTTTGTGAAAAGTGAAATATAATAAATATAACTGTTATTACTGGAAAAGGTCTTCTGACTATCCTTGGGGCAGGCAGAGGGTGAAACAGTATTTCCTCATATAGAAGAGTTCTTGAGAAACCAAGGAGATTTACTGTAAATGAGAGAGGAGGAGACAAGCAGTGAGAACTCCAAATCCACAGAAGTTAGATGGCCAATGTAAAGTTATTAATTAGAATCTTAAAAGAATTATTCAATCTTATTAAAACTACCACTTTATATATTTCATATCTATTTAAAAGCAGCTCCTTCCATAACTTTCTTTCTCAAAATGCCTAGCCATTACCCCCAGGTAAAATCATTCTTCCAGCAAATTAAAAGGTCAAAGTTCACTTGACACTGAACAGAAAAAGCCTCTAGAGCAGTGTTCTCAACCTTTCTAATGCGGTGACCCTTTAATACAGTTCCTCATGTTGTGGTGACACCCAATCATAAAATTATTTTCGTTGCTACTTCATAACTGTAATTTTGCTACTGTTATGAATCGTAATGTAAATATCTGTGGTTTTCCGATGGTCTTAGGCTCTAGAATCGCGGCCCACAGGTTGAGAACCACTAGCAGGGTCACCTAAGAAAGGTTGAGAACACTGCTCTAGAGGAAGAACCAACTCCCCACCAGTCTAATACCTCAGGGAGCAGGGAGCATAGCTAGGAGACAGCAGGGAGCATAGCTAAGGGACATGTGAAACTCACAAACCACTTAAAGTGTCCAAAACAAAACCCACTATTTTAAAATTTACTTGAAACCAAATACAGACAATATGAATAGAGAACACTTATGTTCAAACCAAAGTAGTCCTCAAACTTTAGTTGGTACCAGAACCTGCTGGAGGGATTTTTAAGACACAGCTAGGCCCACCCCCGAGTTTCTGATTCAAGGGTGAGGGCTGAGCATGAGCTGCCAGGGACACGGATGCTATGGACTGGGACACTTGTGAAGAACCACTGAGATAAATGTTCCCTGAGGTTCATACTTACATACAGATTGATTTACACACAGCCATCTTGAACAAGCATGTCCAAGAGAGGCATCTGTCAACAGGAAACACAAAATTTTTGAGAGAGTGGGGCAGATGTAAGGTGGCAGGCCATAGTAAGGACTAGGTTACCTTAAAAGTCCATATCCCCCTGTGGGGCATCTACTATCCAGTGCCAATTGCTGGCACGGAAGGGATTTGAGTCCAGGGTGGCTAACTAGTAGAAATCAGAGTAGTAAAACCAGTATCAGTGACAACAAAAGCTACACACATTACCTACTACTTACTGTGTACCAAGAGCTTTAATACATTGTCCCATTTAATAACACCAGGAAGCCTATAAAGTAAAATTATCATCTCCATTTTAGAGATAGAGAAGTTGAGAAACAGAGGTTAAGCAACCTGCCTGGGGTCACCCGGCATATAAAGAGCAGGACTAGAGTTCTAATTCAGATTCTTGCCTCTAAACTCATATTCTTTTCTTTAAAAAAAAAAAAAAAATTATATATATATATATATATATATATATATATATATATATATATTTTATTGATTTTTTACAGAGAGGAAGGGAGAGGGATAAAGAGTTAGAAACATCTATGAGAGAGAAACGTCCATCAGCTGCCTCTCGCACACCCCCTACTGGGAATGTGCTCACAACCAAGGTACATGCCCTAGACCGGAATCAAACCCGGGACCTTTCAGTCCACAGGCCGACGCTCTATCCACTGAACCAAACCGGTTTCGGCTAAACTCATATTCTTAAACACTATATTTATCATTTCAAATCTTCTAATGTTCTCAAGAGAATTCATAAATCCAGTCTCCTATGTTTTCTATGATTTTCAAAATTTCAGTAGCCACCCCCATATTCTCTGACCCCACAAAAACAATGCAGTATTCCTGTGGGGGCATAATTAGCCCAGGTGCTGCCTGACCTAGAAGCTACCAGAAACTCCCAAGACCTCACACAGCAGAGTGGCTTGTTTACTAAACACTTGTTGTGACTGGCACCATGCTTGCACTTGACAAGGATTACTACTTTTTATCTTCCACTGCAACACTATGAGATAGATGTTACAGGACTTCCTGTTGAGGGGAGAAATGAAAAGAAGTTTGAGGACAAAGTAA